CCCAAAATTCATAAGGTAAGGCCCTAACCCACAATGTGACTGTATTTGGAGGTAGGGTCTTTGAGGAAGTAATTAAGGTTAAATGAGGTCATAAGGGTGGGGCCATCATCTGGCAGGATTTGTGTTCTTATGAGAAGAGGAAGAAACATCAGAGATCACTCCCTCTCCACATGCTCACAGAGGGAGCCAGGAAGAGAGTCTCAACCGACACCAACCCTGCTGGCACCTTGGTCTTGGATTTCCAGCCTCCAGAACTTCAAGAAAATGAATTTCTGATGTTTAAGACACCCAATTTGTGGCATTCCCAAGAACAAACCTGGGCAGACCTGCTGTGATGACAGATAGAACACCCCTTATCTATGTGGTCTCCTTGTACAGACAGCCAGCATCTAGACATGTATGTACATTAGGTCACTGATTGGCAGCTAGCCACAGAAGAGTAAGCCCAGTGATACCAGCAGAAGAGCCACCTTCCTGAGTCCAACTAAAACCTCTGGCCCACAGAATTAAATGGCCCAAAAAATGCTTGTTGTTTTAAGCCCCTGAGTTTTGGAGATGTTTGCTATTCAGCTACAGATCAATGATACATGTGGGAGGTGGGTGTTTTTGGTCATGTGCTTTTATGCTCCATGGAAACACCTGAGTTGCACATGCTTCTGTTGGTCTGATTTGGAATGCAAATACTACTACACCTTGGGTCAGAGTTGTGTCTACACCATGGATCAGAGCCATATCTATAGAGAGCAGGCAGTTAGGTAAATGAACAGGGCAGGCTTCATATAAAAATAATCATGAAGCCCATTTAGTGAGTTTTATTTTCCGTCTTTGAATAAAGACATAGGTAGAGAAGTAATCTCATACTATGGAAATCGACCATATACGTGAGGTACTTGATGACAACTGTAATCCCAGTCTCAGTGCAATGGGGTGTGGTGGAGCCTGTGGGGAACTGGGATGGGTATGCCCACTACACTACGAGGACCACTATTACTATATAGGCATGTGGGCTCAGTACTGTTATTAGAGTTTCCAATTTTTCAACAGAAACCAGAAATCTAGATTTTTACATAAAGTCTCCTAATTTTAAAACACTGATATATCTGTTGTTTTTTGAGTTATTGATGATAGCCATCTTGACTGGAGTTAGGTGGTATCTCAGTGTGGTTTTAATTTGCATTTATTTGATGGTTAGTGAGGCAGAGCATTTTTCATGTACCTAATGGCTGCTTGTATGTCTTCTGAGAAGTATGTATCTAACCCTAAATTGTACCCTACATCTTTAAAATAAAAAATAAGAGGGGAAAGAACACTGAAACAATGGAAAATAAAACATTGAGCAGGCTAGCTAAAGCCATTTTAGGCTAAACTGCCACTTCATAATGTCTGTTGTACGCGAACTGGCTACCAGTAAAGTGAGACATCAGTAAAATACCCTGATGTCAGGTGACTGGCTTGGTTGAGTTTTTTTTTTTTTTTTGAGTTGGAGTCTCACTCTGTCACCCAGACTGGAGTGCAATGGCCGCTTCCGGCCATCGCAGCCTCGCCTGCTGGGCTCCAGCGATCCTTCTGCCTCAGCCTTCCGAGTAGCTGGAATTACAGGCATGCGCTACCACGCCCGGCTGATTTTTTGATTTTATTGTAGAGATGAGATCTCGCTGCCCAGGCGGGTCTCGAACCCGCGGGCTCAGACAATCCACTCACCTCAGCCTCCCAAATGCGTGGGATTACAGGCTGAGCCACTGAGCCCAGCTGAGTTTTTACTTTCTTATTTGCTTGGGATTTGGATAGTTATAATACACAGATGCAAACAGGAAACTTTGCAGAAACATGGATCCTGAATCCAAAACATGATAGACAGGAAATAAAACAATAGAAACATTACAGTCTCTGATCATAGGTCTTTCTGCTTCCAAGTGCAGAGAAAACAAACAAACAAAAAATCAAAACCTAATATGGGTAAGCCCAGTACAAAAAGTTTTTCGAATTCAAAATAAATAAATAAATTAATGAGTGTTTAAACCTTTGCATTTTAAAGTAATTCTTAGTCAGATGGTGAATTTCTTAAAGTAAGTAAGGAATCTGATTTTATTTATTTTTTTGTATCCCTGGTGGCTAGAAGCACCTAATCCAGGTTAAGTGAATGACTGAATGAATATGGATTTATAGGTCATTAACATGTGGAATGTGTGTTTTGGGGATGGCCTGTGTTTTAACTGCCTGTCCTTTGGAGTCAGTAGACATGGTTTTCTTTTCCAACTTGCCCTTTTGTTTTGGATGTGGGAGTTCCCAACTTCTCTGCTCTTCCTTTCCTCATGTATAAAATGAGGATAATAAAATCTACCTGCCTGGGAATGTTGTGCAAATACAATGGAAACCTTCCTGTAACTGCACAGCACAGCCTGAAATGGAACACTTGTCCTATGGATGTCATTGCTGAGGCTGACGGTTAGTTAGCTCTAAACAGCAGATCACCAGGTGAGTAGATGGGAGAGGATGGAACCTATGGAATGCTTCTTCAGGGACACAGCTTTGGAACCAAGCAGCATGAATTTGCACTTGATTAAGTCAGAGCATTCTTTATGTGGATTCTGCGAGAATCAGCTCAGGTCACCTCTTGGGCAGAGGTCTGAGGAAGTTGGAAGGAAACCCAATGTTGTTTCCAATGCATTTTCAACAGCAGTGAGGCAAATGTGTCCCTCGGGAATGATTCTTTGCTACAGAATTGGCCATTTTCAGCAACACACAGTGATGGTGTAATGAGGAGATAAAGCATGACAGTCCAGAGCCCGGCCATTTGTGGAGTGTACTCTGTATCCTAGCTGTTCTTGAACAAGCAGAGAGAAATTGCATCCTATATGCCGGGGAAAGCTTGTGGCTTTTCATTTTCTGCCTCTTTTTGGGTATTGTTGCTTTCCTTTTCACTTTGCCCTAATAAATAATGCTCTCTCTGGAGCAAAATAAATGCCAATCTTATGCATTTCTGAAGGAAGAGCTATTGTAGTTGGAAACTACTGAATAATTCTCAGAGTGTTATTTTGTCATTATTACTCTACATTTACTATTATATTCCTGATGTTGGTGAGACCTCCTAGTCCTCTGGAACATAGATAAGGTTGGCACCAGCTTGAATCACATCCCAGGAAAGACAAAAGCCTGTCCTGAGATTTTTCCTCCCTCCTTTCTTCCAGTGGGCACACTGGTGAGTAGTGCCTCAGAGGGTGGGGCTCATCCTCATGGCTTTAGGAGGCACCTTCCTTGCTGGTGGGCTCTTTTGCTCCATGTTGAGCCAGATGGGAAAAAACCTGCTGCTTTACTAGTCATAAATTGATCCTATTCACATACAATGTATGTGAATACAGAAACCATTGACACAAACAAACAAAAAAACCCAAAAAAACTAGAGATGAGAGTGAAGAGGGGGGAAAAACTTGCATTGGAATAAGGAGAAAAAAAAATACGTTCAAGTAGAATAGTTTAGATGACATTGTTCTTAAAATACCCTTTGTTCACACACCCCTTTACCAGGGAGTTCCCCTGATTCACTCTGTATGTCTTTGCTCCTGCCAGATTTTTCCTGGAACTCCCAACTCTCAGAGTATTTGCAGTCTCTGAAGATCTACTCTCCAGATCAACAATGAAGCCATCAAGTATAAAGCAGGTAGAAAGCCACTCCTCCAACTGGGCACACACCCCAAAAAAGTATTTGGAGTTACAAGAGCTATCTTTTATTTCTATAACATTTTCAGTAATCACATTTACTGGTTTCTTAGTGAAGGGAGCATGGGTCCTGGTTTATGCCTGTTGTTCCAGTATAATCATGAAGAGCTCCCACATGCACTGTCAAATTGACCCAGTTTGGATCATAAATTAAGTGGTCATACTCTTTATTTGTTTTCCTCTGGACTAACACTCTACAATAGAAATACGACAGAAGTCACATATGCAATTTAATTTATCTTGTAACTCCATTAAAACCCAAGAAGAAAAGGTGAACTTACTCTTAATAATATATTGTATTAACTCCATCTGTCCAAAATATGATCACTTCAACATATAATTAATAAAACACATTTATTATTTTACTTTTTTGGTATTAAATATCTGCAATCCAGTAGAGTGTATTTTAATTGTGGCACATCTCAGTGTGGACTCACCACATTCCAACTGCTTAACAGAAAAATGTAGCTGACAGCCACTGAAGTGGATGACTCAGATCCATGTCTGTATTACCCTAGTTCTTTTAAATAAATGTTGTGATGTTACACTGCCTTAAATAATCATAGGAGGTAGATGACATAAAGATGTACCTTTAGAGTGGGGAAAGATATAGAAGACTCCCTTTCCAAAAGTTATATATTTTATAGAATTTTAATATTTAGGATTGGTACAAGTGGCAATTATTAGAATAAATTATTGTTTAGAAATACAAAATTTCAATATATACTTGAAACAATATATGAGAGAAATTAAAATAGTTCATGAACTATTTGTATAAAACTATACAAATCTTCCAAGTGATCATAAATCAGTTCTCATGAACTGTTATAAAACTATATAAACTACTGTATTATATGAACTACTATAAAATGGAATTAAAAGATAAAAATTATAAAACTTTATTGCTCAACATAAGCTCCATTAAGGTCAAGACACTTTTGGAAGCTACAATACCAGCCATTTAGTCCATCGTTAAAGAACTGAGGTCCTGGGAAGTTAGCCATGTCAATGCAGTCTTTTTTACATTATTGGTTGAATAAAAATGGGTGCCCTTTACAGAGTTTATAAGATTAGGAAACAAAAAAACATTAGAAGGAGTCAAATCAGGACTGTAATGTGAATGCCTACTGATTTCCTATGGAAAGTCTCTGCAAATTGCCCTTGTTTGATGAGAGAAATGAATAGGAGAATTGTTATGGCAGAGAAGGACTCTCTGGTAAAGCTTTCCCAGGAGTTTTTCTTTTCTTTCTTTCTTTCTTTCTTTTTTTTTGATTGGTCTGAGTTTTATAAAACTATGCAAATCTTCCTAGTGATCATAAATCAATTCTCATTACAAGGACTTAAAACAATTTTTAAAAAGTCACACAATTACACTTGTAACATTACAGTGTTTAATGTTTATCAAGTTGCATTTCTACAGCTAGCAGGATTAATAGATAAGCTACTGGGATTCCAACCACATCCTAGGGAATGTTTATCGAGTGATTCCAATGACATCACAAGTCCAATGACTTCCAGCATCTCCAGTGTTTGTACTTTCTTCATTTCCACCATTGCCCAAGTCATCTTGTTTTTTTTTGTGCACCACTGAGAGTGAGATGGCCACACCATCTTCACCAACAGTCATATTGCCAGGTCTTCATCATGCCTTTCCTGATCCTTTGGCCCACGGTGTCTTTTAGATAGGGGATTAAAGTGGGGACCTGCACTGGTATAGCCTTGTGTATTATCTCCAAACTTGTGAGCATGGAATCCATGCTGGCCCTCAGTCAATCTTGCAATGCATCCCAGTACCACAACTGGCTCATTTTCCTTCTACTCAAAGTGGATGGTACCCTGCTCTGGGCTGTCACCCTTCAACATACACACTGTCTTTATCGGCATGTGGGCGGAGACATGCTCTGGTCTTGGATCTGAGGGCTGTGAGGAAAGCAGGTGACACTGCAGAAGACGTGGCACAAACCCCAGAAGTTTTTCTGTTAAGGCCTTGGCTAACTTCCTCAATTACTCTCATAATGAGCAGATGGTATTATTCTTTGGCTGTCCAGAAAGTCAACAAGCAAAATGCTTTGAGCATCCCAAAAAACTGTTGTCATGATCTTTGCTCTTGACTGGTTCACTTTGACTTCTACTGAACCACTTCCACCTCTAAGCAACCATTGCTTTGATTGTGTTTTGTCTTCAGGATGGTACCAGTAAAACCATATTTCACCTCCTGTTTCAATTCTTCAAAGAAATGTTTTAGGATCTTGATCCCATTTGTTTAATATTTTCCTTGAAAGCTTTGCTCTTGTTTGAAGCTAATCTGGGTGCCATTATTTTGGCATCCATCAAGTGGAAAATTTGCTCCAAATTAAGTTTTTAGTCAGAGTTGTGTAAGCTGAACTAATTGAAATGTCTCTGGTGTTAGTTATTGTATGTATGATCCTCTTCAAGTAGGGCGTGAGCAAGATGATTTTTTTTTCTTGAAAATTGACGTGGGTGGTTTGCTGCTGCAGGCTTTATCTTCAACATCATCTTGTCCCTTCTTAAAATGAGTTATCCCTTTGTAAACTGTTAATTTCTTTGGGGCATTGTCCATAAACTTTTCATAAAGTGTCAAGAATTTCACCATTCTCCCACACAAGCTTCACCACACATTTGATGTCTGTTCTTGCTTAAATTTTAGCAGAATTCATGTTACTCTGATGGGGGCTCTTTTCAAACTGATTTCTTATCTTTCTTAGAGTCTCAAATTGGTTCCTGTTGAGACATGTTATAACCAGTGAGTAAAAGTTTATACTGGTGAAAAAAATAGAAAGAAATCCCTGCATGGCTTTCTCAAAATATAAAAAACTAATAACATTTATATATATATATATATATATATTTATTTATTTATTTATTTTCCATGAACTTTTTGAAGTCCCCTCATATATTTAATAAATACAATAAGAAAAATTAAGAGAAAACATTTGGAAAATTTAAAAATAACCAACTCTATGTATCTGTCACTCAGCTTCAACACTCACTGTTAGTAATCTTGCTTTCTGGAAATTCCTGCCCACCCTCCCATTAATATTTCAAAGGTTTGCATATATCTTTAATAGATAAAGATAATTGTCTTCACATATAGCCATGATAGTACTATCAAAACTAAAAATTAATAATTTCTTAACTTTATTCAATACCTAGCCCATGCTCGAATTTCCCCAATTACCTTACACACTTTTCTTTTACATTTACTTTGCTAAAATCCAAATAAGGTCCATACATTGCAATTAGTTGATAAATTTCTTATAATTTTTAACCTGTAATTTCCTCTCTTCTCCAATAATTTGCTTGTTTATCTGTCCCATACAGTTTAGATTTTTTGTTTTTGTTTTTTCGAGTTTGAGTCTCACTGTATCACCCAGACTAGAGTGCAGTGGCATGTTCCCGGCCACTGCAGCCTCAACCTACTGGGCTCTAGTGATCCTTCTGCCTCAGCCTTTCAAGTAGCTGGAACTATATAGTCGCGCACAACCATGCCCAGCTAATTTTTGATTTATTGTAGAGACGAGGTCTCGCCAAGTTGCCCGGGTGGGTCTCGAACCCACGGGCTCAGGCAATTCACTCGCCTCAGCCTCCCAAAGTGCAGTTTAGATTTTTGAGGCCTTATTCCCTAGGGTGTCATTTAATGCTCTTCTGTTTTCTTTGTGTCTATAAACTGGTAGAGCTAGAGGCTTGATGAAATTCAAAATAAAAACTTTGACAAAAATATTTCAAGGTTTTATTTCGGTAGCACCAAGAACTAAATAGCATCTGCTTTTTCTGAGTGTGTGTGTGTGTGTGTGTGTGTGTGTGTGTGTGTGTGTTGAGAGAGAGAAAGAGAGAGATTGAGAGAGAGAGAGAGAGAGAGAGAGAGAGAGAGAGAGACACGAGGTAGGGAAAGGGACTAAAGAGAGAATAGGGAGAGAGATTGAGAGATGAGTTTGGGGAGAAAGAGAGAAAGGGGAAGAGGGAGAGAGAAATTAGATTAATAATTGTTGATCACTGGCTAGGACTTTAATTTAATAAAGGTGACAAGATTAGGATATTCTTGTTCTGCCATTCCCTTCTTATTTGCTGAGTAGGATACTTCTATCAGAGAAATTACTCCTATTCAAGCCCTGTTCACACTGAAGTATAGTGTGCATAGAAAAGTCAGGATAAAAGCTTAATCTTTCCCCTTTATTTACCACTTTTAAAAATAAGTTAGTTTCCTGGTGTTCTCCAAAGGTAACCAGTGAGTTTTTCTCCTCTTTTCTTTCTTTCTTTTTTTTTGAGGGAGGGGGTGGTATCATTTGGAACTCATGGGTTGAAACATGTTTGATATACTCCAGTGGACTCTGAGTGTCCCTGGCCAGGGTGAACTGCTGCAGGTTGATTGTAATTGTGTCTGCTCTCTGGTGTGACAAGACGTCTAGGTTCATCTTGTACATTTCTCGACCTACAACGTGGAATCAACCATTTCCCAAAAAGGCGACTAAACCTAAGAAGAATGTAAACATTGAAACTGGGGTTGCCCTAGTTAAAACTCTCTTGCTTGCACATAGCAGGAATTCCAACCCATACTGCATAGGCACAGGATCATCCATTGGCTCCTATGATGTAAGGGGTTAGAACTGAATCGGAGGTTAGGCTGATACAGGTGCTCACACCCTCCTTGGGAGCTGGTATCTGTGCCTCCATTTCTCTGCTACATTTCTTCTAGGTGGCTCCATGTGTGGCAGTGAACCACCGGCACCCAGGAATCATAAGGATCACAGGCCACAGTGCTAAGTGACTCCTGGAAGACCCCTGGTGATTCTTTAGCGGCTGCATCATGGGCAGATACAGGAGGGTTCAGGGGAGGGCCTGGATTGATTAGTGGTGGAGGGGATGCTTGGGGGATCTGAAGAAAGTGGTCATTTGCTGGCAGGTACTGAAGAATTTTGATAGTTCAACAACCAACTCGGTCTCACCAGTGCTACCTGGTCCAGCTGGTTCCATTTTCTGACCTTCTCTTGCCTCACAGTGGCCACATGGTTATAGTCCTCACACCCAGCTGAGAAATCAAGGGCAAACCCAAGTCCAGAGGGTCATTCATGTGGGCTGAGCTGAATACCATGCCAGGAAATGGAATGAGTTAGTTGATTGGCTTACTACATATGTTGTCCTAGGAGCTGTGGCTGGAGCTGCACATATACCAGGACTGAGCTTAGGGAGAAAAAGGCTACAAAAATTGGGATTATGGCTAGAGGAAGGGGAAACAGCTGTGACAGGATAAGTACTATGTGGCCGCCATAGAAGTTGTAGAGAGCATTTGCATCTTAGGTCAACCTCAAGGCCAGATTTACTGTTGTGCTTTGCTTTGGCTACAGAATGTTAAGAATATTCTGATTCACACAGGTATAAAGATGCAAACTGAAAATGTTTTCAATGCTTCAACTTCCTTAAACTAATCAATTAAATGTCAATAAGATTGAAAGAGAAGCAGAAGGAAGCATTTTCAAACATGAATGATCAGTGATTATGATGGGTATATAATTTGTGGGACCCAATGCAAAATGGCAGAATAAAAAAGTGGGTCCCTTGTTCAAAAGTCATTCAAGATGTCAAGATGGCAACAGCAGAGCAGTGAACCAACTGGGGGGCTCTGTGTGTGCAGGTTGAACCCCATGAAGCTAGCCTTGCCAATAATATCTAGTAACAACTCACATTTCTTTCTTTAAACAGAAGAGGCAGACAAGAAGCACCCTAAAGTTGCCAATGCTAAAATATCTAGACAGTACTGTGGTCTCACCTCAGTGTGATGTACCGTTTGAAACACATTAGGGCAGCGATGGAAAGACCAGGTTCTAGACTTTTGAAAACTTCTGTTTTTCAGTTCTCCCACTTACTGGCTGTAAGGTCTTGGGGCATTTACTTCAGTCCACCTCACCTTAATTTCTCCCTCTGTAAAATGGGATGCAACACCATCTACCTTGTGGGATTGTTTTGAGAATTTGATATGAGATATGAAAATAATTTCTTACGAGGTTATAGAAAATAATGTCCTCAGAACAGGACTGTCACAGAATGGACACTTCATAGATTCTAGCTGGTGTCACAGTTATGAGTATTACTGTTTTAGACCCAGGGCATGTATGCATGGTGTATCATACATGTCAACATACTCTATGTGCCATAGGCACATGCCCCACACAGGTGCTTCCCAGTCTTGCCTGGCATGTGGTTGAGGGAGATACGTGTGTGCCATGCCAGTATGCTTGCTTAGATAATTTTATGTGAGTAAAATGCAAAAAGCACTGAATTTTTAAAATGCTCAACATAGAGCTATAGTCATCTTAACCAGTGAAGCATCTTCAAGGAGGTTAAATTATGCACAAAAATTGTGTGGGAATTTATTCTAGGGTCTGCACAAACACAGCTTAATCTTTGTTATCATTTGATATATACGTTATTTATTGTTCTTTATTATACAGGTTTTTTTGGAAATAGTTGAATACATTTTAAGAAAACTAAATTTGAATAAAATCTTGGCAGAATCCTTGATCATGAAGATCCTTTTGAACCTGGGATAATTGACCTCTGGAAAAATGCCTTATAAATTAGTTCACTTACAATGGATACCTTATTTTTTTATTAAGTGGTTTTTTAAAAGCAAAAAAAAAAAAACTGGATTGAAACTTGATCTTTAAATAATAAAATGAAACTTATGAATATATTTATCTTATATATATACTATAATCACAACTGTAAGCTATTTTTTAAATAAAGAGACTAAACCAAATGTTGATTCCCCCTCCCCAATTTTTTATTATGGTAAAATATCTATAATATAAAATGTATTATTTTTCTCACTTTTCAGCATATAGTCAGTAACATTAAGTATACACTCC